GCTACCCCTAATACTGTTTACAAGATAGGTGAGATGTACAAGGAATAGTGTACCATTGCTGCTGCCCAGTGAATTTCCATGATCGAGAGAGGATTTGAGCCTAGGTCTATTGAATCTTTGGCCGTGTTCTGAAGGTTGTTCTTCCTAACGTTTCGCCAGTCTCTGTGGCTGGCCTCTTCAGAGATTAACCTATATGCTAATGGAAGTACAATTGAATAACTCAAAACAAGTAAACATTTAAAACTACAGTGGGGTCTTGACTTGAGAACTTAATCCGTATTGGAAGGCGGTTCTCAAGTCAAAAAGTTCTCAAGTCAAATCTGCATTTCCCATAGGAATGCATTGAAAACCATTTAATCCGTATCTGCTCTTTTCCGTCCATAGAAACTAATGGGAAGCTGCTATTCCGCCTTCGACCACTAGAGGGGGATATTTTGTTTCTTTTTTTCTTAGGTCAAGAAAGGTTCAGGGAAGGCAGGGAAAATACAGTCCAGGCAGTACAGTACCAGGCAGTCTGAAGACTGTCTCCCAATCCACTCTCTAAACGCTGGGAGGAGTGAGGAAGCAGACAGGCACCCTTTTCACTGGCCAACAGTTAAATGAAAGTTCACTTTTTGCACTTTCCCTGCCTCCCACGTGGGTTTTTTCAGTTCTTAACTCAAATCTAAGTACTTAAGTCAAGTCAATATTTTCCTATGAGAACGGTTCTTAAGTCAAAATGTTCTTAACTCAAGCCGTTCTTAAGTCAAGACCCCACTGTATCTTAACTCTAAGAAAGCATTCAGGGGATTTAATCATGATTGTTAAAAGCCTACCTATTGTTTTTAAATTTTGTAATGCCGCCCAAAGTAGACTATCTGTCTAGATGGGCGGGGTATAAATCTAATAAAATAAATAAATAAAATAAATAAATACCTGAAGAGATAGGTCTTCAGCTGTTGGAAGGATAAAAGGGAGGGGGCCAGCCTTATCTCCTGAGGGAGACCATTCCCCAGTTTGGGAGCTGCCACAGAGAAAGCCTTCCCTTGTGTCCCTGTCAGCCCGGGATTTCTCTGCCCAGCAGTTAATCTTGAGTCAGATGAGACTGGCATGCACAGGAAGACAGTTGCTGGTGTACACAACCATACTGTTTCTGTGCTGAGCTCACCTGTTTTGTGTTTCCTTGTCCTCAGGGAAAAGCAGCAGGAGGTGGTATACGCACTTGAAATAGGCAGGTGTGCGCCCTTCCAGCAGCAACTACCAACAGGATGGTTTGCATCCTTCTAATAGCAAATTTCTGCACCTCCTACAGTTCAGTATCCTAGGTCAGAGCCTCAGTTGCCCCTACCTGAGTCCAAACTGTGAATATGAGAAGGTCCATTATTCCAAATCATGCTGCAGAAATTGAGAGTGCTTTGTGGTGGTGGGTTGGGGATGGAGGAGCAAGTTCATAGGTGCAAAAGCTGGAAATGTTTAGTTCTTTAGCTCAGCCATGTCATGAGGATCTGCTCAGGGGTTCTGGTATCTGACGGCAGAGTTCAATACCCCACTGTCCCTCCTTGACAAGGACTGGACTTGATTATCCGTAGGGTCCCTTCCTGCTCTGCAGTTCTAAGATTACTGCTACTACTACTATCATTATTATTACTATTGTTGCAATTGGTAGTTTAGGTTCAAATAGATGTTTCTTTGTTTTGCTTTGATATTGGGTGTGGGTTTCTCAGTTGCTTTTCCTTTGTTTCTGCTCCTTTGCTTTGGCTTCTCTGTCTGATACTTCCATTTTTTTCCCCCTTTAAGGTCAGTAATGCTAGTTTAAGAGAGTCAAGCCCCCTGGCCTTTGAACATCACCCTTGGAGATGGAAGGTGAAATAATCTGCCTCTTTCTGTAGTGTAACAAAGCAAAACAAAAAGAAATGAAAGTGAACTATTTTGAAACTTATTGCTGCAGCAATGACTTCTAGTGAGGAGATTGGTCCATATACAGAGGTGCATGTTTTATGGAGTGAATTCCAGAGTTGTAAAATTAAACACATTTGCAATAAATTCATGCTTGAATGGTCTGTTCCAAATGTGTAAACATAGTACCTTAGAGAAAGTGTATTTATAATGACAGTAATATTAGAGCATATGTTTAATCTGCATGATATTTTCAGGGTTTTTTCCCTTCCATTAACCTTTTTGAACTGTGCTGTTTTCTCCCCAAATCCCCTGGATGTTCCATATATATTCATCTGTGCAATTTTGCCACCACTATTTATGAGTTGCAAAGTTAAGATGATTATGGCAGTTTGCTTTTTTTAAGTGGCCATCAGTCAAAGCAATGGATAGGTTTGCTCTCATAGAAAGATTTCCTTCTGTTTGGCTCAGTTCTGAATTAGATAAGTCAAAGGTGTCCAGTTTAGGTGGCAGACTAATATCAGAATTGTTTTCCAACTTAAAAGACTGGGCTTATCATTGGGAGGGAATTGGTGAGAACCAAGGCACAAAAATTGTGAGATTAATGAGAGCTTATTCAGGAGAAGAGACAAAGGTTAGTGTAGATAAATTTTTACAGGGTAGCATCAGTCTTGACTATTGGAATGAATACTGCCCTCCCCACATCCTGCTTGGTCCATGTTGTTGTTTAGTCGTTAAGTCGTGTCCGAATCTTTGTGATCCCATGGACCAGAGCACCCCAGGCCCTCCTGTCTTCCACTGCCTCCTGGAGTTTGGTCAAATTTATGTTGGTAGCTTCGGTGACACGGTCCAACCATCTCGTCCTCTGTTGTCCCCTTCTCCTCTTGCCTTCACACTTTCCCAACATCAGGGTCTTTTCCAGGGAGTCTTCTCATGAGATGGCCAAAGTATTGGAGCCTGAGCTTCAAGATCTGTCCTTCCAGTGAGCACTCAGGGTTGATTGCCTTCAGAATGGATAGGTTTGTTCTCCTTGCAGTCCAGGGGACTCTCAAGAGTCTCCTCCAGCAGCTTGCTCCATGACATACCCATAATATGTACAAGAGGCAAGACACTCTAGATAATTTGGGTTCCATTTCTTCAGAATATATTTTGGTCTAAATGATTGTGTGACATATACAGTAATGTTGTTACAGGTTGTTCAATGAAGGTTTTGAATGTTTTGAGGGTCTTACAGATACCTATAAATACACACATTATAGACATACTTAGTTTGTGAATTAATGGTGCAGGAGCACATTTAGTGGGCCAGGAGTAGTTATAGCATTGTGTTTAATGATTCATATTTATACAGATTCTCGGATACTTCCTTTCGTCACAGTAATAAGGGTATACTTCTTGGCAATCCCATTTCCTCCCTTTCATTAGTGATTTATAGTTGAAGTAATTTTTGTGTGTGTGAATCCCATCATTCTTCTATCAATTAAAAAAATCAATAAAAAAGCAAATGTTAAACACTTAGGGAAGCAGATTTCTACTGTTCAACTCGTGCAGTGATCCAGAGTTAAAATATATAGTTATTCATCATGAAGTGTTAATATACCCTTATCTCCAAATGAATTGGCTCTCCATGTATGTTTATTGTAAAACAGATACCGCAAACCCAAGGAGATAGTAGGAAACATGTTCCCTACCTTACACCTAAAAACTAGGTCAGGTGGTTTGCTGCTGAATGGAAAGCTATCCTGAGCAGACTTTATTCCCTTAGGAGAACTTGACTTTATTATTATTAAAGTGAGATGCCACAATAGGATTAGCCAAGGATGGAAAATATGGAGTATCCAGGCCAGTCACGTAGTCACATCAGATACCTTGGAGGATAAAGGCCTTCCCTTGGTCTCATGTTTTTTTCCAGAGCGGTTAATTCATTAGCCAATAGACTCCTTGCTAAATGTATTTGCTAACTTGGCTCAGAAGGTGATTTCAAAAGCGGAAGAAGCAGAAGAGACCTACTTTGTTGTGTGGTGTTTTTGTAATCTGCAGTCCATGTGCCTTGATATATTGAGGTTACTTGAGGTGAAATACAAATGACTACTTCTTAAGGCAGATAAAAGCTCTGTGCTTTGTTTTAAAGGAGAATATTTTCCTCCTGGAGTCTTCTGGGTGTAGCTATCCTTCTGTTTTGACTGAAATAATGGATAGAGACAAAAAGCAGCAGGGTCTGTAAGAATGAAGAAAGACCATGTGATTCCTGCCCCTTTCCTAGACATTGCCATCTATCCTCTCCTCCAACAGTGTTGTATATTTTCTGCATAGTAATTTGGTAGAGAAAACAGGTAGTAAAATTGGTGTGTATACACTTTTTGTGTGTTTTAAAAAACAAAACAATAAGAGCTTCCATAGTGGACAAAGAAGCTATAATGACATGTCATACGGAAAATATTTATAATGCTCGTATGATGCAGATATTTCATTCTTCCTATCAGTGGTTGCAATTATAAACTAGATTATTTGGATTGCTTATTGAAGAAGTAGCTAAATTAGGAATAACCACAAAAATGGACCTTGTGCAGCACAATCTACCTCCAGGGCTGCTTTATTGTTAAAATGATCTGAAAAAGATTCATGAAACCTTGCAGTGGGTTAATTCTGCAATTATAGCAAACTGGCCTAGGTCAAAGAAGTACTATGAGTAAATGCCATTCAACAATAGCACATTAGGTGCCAAAAGAAAAAAGATAGAATGGAGACATTAGCCAAAATCCTGTTGTTTAGCGTAGTAAATCCCACTAAAATCCATTGAATCAATGGAGATTTGATGAGTCCACTGCTCCATCAATTCCATTTATATGAATGGGCCTCCTCTAACTGCTAAGGTAATTTGCATTTAAATCAATGGAACTTAGACTCATCAAATCCCAATTGATTCAGCGGCCCTAATTTAGTGCAATTTATACTCTAAACAACAGGATTTTGGCCATTGGAATGTATGATAAATTTAAAGATCTAAAGATTCCAGGCTTGCTTTTGTTTGTTTGTTTGTTTGTTTGTTTTAATTTGCTGTGTCTTACAATACTGATGTTGCAGATTTCCTCCTAATTGCTAACTTCTTCTCTTTGAAAAAGCAGAGGATGTCAGATGGCTGTGAAAGTCAGATGTCAATTGAAGAAAGAAAGCAATTGATAAGCGTCCGAGAAGAAGCTTGGAAGGCAAGGGGTAAAGGAGCAGCCAATGACTCCACCCAATTCACTGTGGCTGGCAGAATGGTCAAGAAAGGTAAGTAAATTATTCATCTTTTATATCTATTTTTCCTTTGTTTAATGTGCCTGGTAAAGAAATGAGCATGGGAGTATTTGCCAAAGAACATTCAGTTGCATTAATATCAGCAAACTACTCATTTTCATTTCCTCCCACATTATTTGTTGAGCCATTTCAATTATTTTGAAAGCTTGGAAGAGCAATGAAGCAGCAACAGGAAAAATGTATCCTGAAGGCTGCTCACAGTGAGTGTTTGGTTTGCCTTATAACTTGGCATCAAAATCTGAGAGATTAGCTTGTGTTCCGATTACATCTTGTGAGGTTAACCAGATTGCATTTTAGTAGCCTTTAGGAAATGCATTTAGGAGGTGCTTTTATATTTTCTGATCAGCACTGTGATTCTGATTCACTGAAAGATTAAGAATTTGTTCAGAAGATCACATCTGTCTTGGGGAAGGGATGTGGGGTGTACAAAATGTATTCATCTGTGAAAAACTAATTTTAAAACTCTGGAACTACAAGCTCAAGCAAAGCAATTGTTTTACACACCAGCCCTTCATCTAGTTCAGGGTTGTAGAATCAGGCAGTTGGTGGCCAGTAGGGCTACACCTCAGCCCTAACCAACTCAATTAGTGGTAAAGGATTATGGGAGCTGCAATCCAACAATGCTGGAAAAACCATATTGCCCACCTGTGTATGATCTAGTGGGTAAGAACAAGGGTTATATGGGGGTCTCCTGATTCAGTTCATAACCTTGTTTGGATTTGGACCTGACGTGGTTCAGTCTGATTTGAACCTGATCAAATCCACTTCTAATCCAAGTCTAAATTCGGAAAAAACAGCTCTTTACACTTCTTGTTAGTTTGCATTGGGAAATTATAATATTTGTTGATTTTTTGTGTATGGAATTTGGAGACATGGTAACCTCTCAGAGAGGATTGTTCCTGCTGAATTCTGGACAAATGGCCCCCAAATTATTTTCTACTAACCTCTTAAATATATGAGTTCTGTCACATAAACCTGCCAAGGAATCCTTTACGATATCCTTGGGTTCCGTGTCAACTGGATAAAGCTCCCTTCCTGGACAGTGTTCTCTCAAGGAAGAAAGTCCAAGGGATGGTAATATAATGGAGGAAAGCATTTGTTACGTTTGTCCTAAGAAGAGAACATGATCTTCGTGAATGGAAAAAATGTTTCCAGTGATTTATTTTTTCCACTCTGTTACAGAATTGCCCATTGCTTGCTTATGGTTCCCCACCCCAAGCTATGTCTGTCTGTGGAAAACTACTCAGATTCACTAATCAGCAAAGAAGGAAGCGCAACAGTTCTGGAAACTGGAGACTTAATTTGTCTAGCTCACTGGTTCTTAACCTTGGGTTACTTAGGAGTTTTGGACTGCAGCTTCCAGAAGCCTTCACCACCAGCTGTCCTGACTGGGGTTTCTGGGAGTTGCAGTTCAAAAGCATCCGAGTAACAAAGGTTAAGAACCACTGGTCTAGCTCAGCGGTGTCCAACCTTTCACCTTCCCTGGGCCACATTAGAAGATGAAAATTTGATTTGGGCCACACATACATTTGGTTTGGGCCGCATGGGGGGGCAGCCCTAGCCGTCCTCCGCAGCCCCGCTCCAAGCGCGCTTACCGGCAGCTGTGATCTCAGACAGCAGAGGCTGCCAGCTTCGACTCCGGTGGCTTTATGGGGCCAGGAGGAGGTCCACCTATTGACGGGGACGGCGCAATGCAGTCACGCAGCCCCCCTGTCCCCTCCCCTCCCCCTCCTTCCTTCCCTCTCTCCTCCTCTACTGTTGTGACATACCCAGGCCACATTCTGGCCACAAGCGCCGGCAGTGTAACTCGAAACTTTGGAATTTCTTTAAAAATAAAAAATTGCACTAGGCTGCATTATGAGCTGACCTGGGCTGCAGGCGGCCCTCGGGCCGTGGGTTGGACAAGCCTGGTCTAGCTCATGTAAGGGACTTTGGCAAGAGGAGAAAAGATACCCAACAGGCTTCTTAGACCTAAGCCCAATTGTTATTCCCAAAAGAGAACACCCACTGAAGCACTGGAATTTACATTAAGTAATGACTTACCAAGTTGTCATTCAAATTCAGTGGCTGAATTGCCCCTCTCCCCGGCTTAATTTCATACATCACAACTAAGGTAGGCCCATTTGAGTCAATAGAATTTACAGTATGGAGGAGTGGACTTACCAAACCTTCACTGTTTCAGTGGGATGACTCCAATGTGATTTGCTACACTAAAAAAAGGATTTCAGCCAAACAGCCTACTCTGCTTGGAGCTAAGAGCTGGATTTTGACTTATTTTCTGTAAAATATGGATGTTCTGTGATAGCCAGAAATGTCCCATACCTGGACATCAAAGAAATCACAAAGCCTGTAATGACATGGTAGAGGCTATGGAAGGAAAGAGAAATTCCCAAGTAAAATATTTAGGCATGTGAGCTTAGTTAGATGTTAAAGCATTTGTTGAGAAGAATGATATGGAAAATCTGCTTATTTTGCAGGTTTAGCATCCCCTACTGCTATCACACCAGTTGCATCTCCTTTCTGCAACAGATTGAAGTCAACAACACCCGTCTCAAAACCTCTAGAAGGTGGGTAATTTTAAAAAGACACCTAATGAGAAATGTTCTGATCCTCTTTCTTTTCTTTCTTCAATCTCTTTGTGACCACTTTCGTTTTTATTTTGTTTTAGAAATTGAAGCAAGGCCAGATATGCAGTTAGAATCAGACATGAAGTTGGATAAACTGGAGACGTTCCTTGGAAGGCTGAACAACAAAGGTCTATAACATTTGAAGAAAGCAAGCTATGTTCATTTGCCTTCCCACATTTATTATCTTACTTGTTAAGGATTTTATTGATTATAGCAATAGCTTATGAATTTTAAGTGTGCAGACAGCCAGTAGCAAAACATTGCTTCTCTTAAGATGTTGATGGAATAACTTTGATCTCCAAGACGAAAAGCACAATTAGAGCTTTTATTTGTAGTCTGTCTTTATTCCATTGTGGTTCTCAGGCGTGATCAGGAAGTCTCATGCTTTCAAATGTTGCTGCAGGGTGTGCTTTTAGGACTGTGTCCTAGTTCTGCCCTAATCAAAGCTTCAGCATCCCACACATGGATCTTAGTCTCAAAGCAGAATGCTGCAATGCTGCAGAATTTAATGGCAAAACATGTTTGATTTCTTTATTCTGTTTATCCAACAAAACGAAGAGCAACATCCAATAACAGGGTATTGCAAATTATGCAAGTCCAAAGATGAAAGAGTCTGTGTATTCATCTATATATGAATATATATCGATTAAGTTGTGTGTCTTCACTGTCAGAAGAAATATATGTGCTGTTCTCCAGTGTTTCTAAAATAGACTTTCTTGAGCCTTTATTAAACTGCCTTATATCCTGGCAGTTAGCAGTAAGAACCCAGGCTGACTACTGTTGTGTGCTTTTCTAGCAAAATTAATAAACATTCTTGAGCAGTTTTATACTCTTTTCATCTCAACAATGCATTTGGTACATGCAGTATCAGCTCTTCGGTTTACTAGCTCTTCAGTTTTCTAACATCACTTTAATTACTCCATTTGATCAACTCTGGAAAAACCCTTCCTGTAATTACAGTTGTGCCTCACTTGACGATGTTAGTTCGTTCCAGTGAAATCGCTGTAGAGCAAAAACATCATCAAACGAAATTAAAAAACCCATTGAAATGCATTGAAAACCATTCAGTGCGTTCCAGTGGGCTGAATACCTGCTCGTCCAGTGAAGATCCTCCATACGGCGGCCATTTCTGGTGCCTGTAAAGCGAGGAATCCGTCCTAGAAAACAGCAGGGGGCCATTTCTTCAGCCAGCGGCCATTTTGAAACCCAACGATCAGCTGTTTGCTGATCGTCGTAAAGTGAAAATCGGTTCTGGAAGCAGGGGACCGATCATCATTAAATGAAAAAAACCCATTTAAACCATCATTTTGCAATCGCAAAAACCTAATCGTACAGCAATTTCCTTGTTAAGCAAGGCAATTGTTAAGCAAGGCACGACTGTACTTTGAATAACATGCTGAAAGCTATAATGGTGATCAACCCTACCAGTCTACCCCAGTTTCCAGAAAGACTACAAATTGCATTATTCCCAGTCATTGCTGACTAGGCACATACCTGTTTGGAGGAGGCTAACCCTGACACTTAAGGACAATACTCATTGTTTCTATGACAGAAAATTTCTAGTGAGGTTGAAAAACTATCACGGCTATACAATAAGAAGTCTTTGTAGAGACATTATCAAAATGTCAGAATAGCCTTCCTGGATCAAACAAATTAAGTTTCGCCCAGCATCCTATTTCCCACGGTTGCAAACTAGGTACCTGTAGGCCACAGAGACAGTGTCTTTCTCTGTTGTTGCTTTCTAGTACATTACCAAGTGACACAGTATCTCAGAATCTGGGAAGCTGCATTTTCTAATTAGTGGTCATTGATCAGTTTTTGTCCCTTACGAATTCTCTAGTCCCCTTTTAAAAGTTATCAAGGCTGTCAAAACTGTCTTAAAGGCCAACTGAAGAGGCTGGTGATTCCAGTTTTACATGGGTAATAAATCTGCTGGAGGTTTTAGATTGAATTTTGCAATAACTCTTCAAGGTGCTGAAATTGTTTTGATCCAAAACCTGGAGTGAATTCATCCCAGATAACTGGAGTCAGCAGCCTGAATTTCAAGTGGAGAGTTGACCATCCACTGGCATGCTTGCATCCTTGCTACTTCTTGGATAAATTGTGGTAAAATATTAACAGTGTTTTCACTGAGCAGATCCAAAGTTAAAATATTTGTACTGATGATAATTAAAATTCAGTCAAAGCTCAAATTAATGTTGTTTCATAATAATCTTTTCCCCCCCTTCCTCTTGTAGTGGGCGGAATGCAAGAAACAGTGCTGACAGTCACAGCAAAATCTGTAAAAGAAGTGATGAAGTTGGATGACGAGGAAACATTTTCTAAATTTTACCGTTGCATGGAATACCCTACTTCTTCATTACCTTTGGAGCTAGATGAAGACTTTGATGCTATATTTGATCCTGAGGCGCCCAAGTGAGCCCTTTTTACTTGCATACGTTTGGGCCACCTTGAGCTTGATTGGACATGAACTGGGCTAGAAATGTAACAAATAAGTAAATAAATAGCAACCCTTGGTCTTCTGGGTGTGGGTTAATGAATTCAGATGTTGAGCTTGTTTGCCTCACATGCCATGGGAAAAGGCAGCATGATGTTTCTACTTTAATATCAATTCATAAAGTAGAGGTTAAGTGTGCACATTTTTTGCTTTTCAGGTTGATTTCTTCAGTAGCTGAGCACAAGCGTGCAGTAAGACCCACCCGCAGAGTCCAGGCTTCTAGGAACCCTTTAAAAATGCTGGCAGCAAGAGAGGACATTCTTCATGAGTACACAGAGCAAAGGCTAAATGTAGCGTTCATGGAGTCCAAGCGGATGAAAGTTGAAAAAAGTAAGTTTGATGCGCCAGGACCATCTTCTGCATGTTGCTGTCCACGAGCCACTACCATACAGCATTCATCGAATTCATAGTTTAGAAAACTTTGAGGAATAAAGGTACAGTCTATACATCCCCCCCCCCCAAAAAATACTCCACGGCTCCATTCAGATAATCTCAAACCATGACCTGTCTGACAGAGTGGAAAAAAATGTGCATGCATCTCTCTGCTTCTCCCTTTGCACACATAACTTTGGTGTTCATATCATGGCATTTCACCAATAATTTCCAAGGACCACCTTTTGGTTTTATACCTTGTTAAATAAGCAAGAAGTGAATCCTTGTTTTCAGGTTGGAATGTAATGGGAAACATTGATTTAAAGAAACCACAATACCAGTGACAAAATTGGGCATATAATGGGAAAGGCAGGGAAGGAAACCCATGGGCCTAGGACTCATGTTCAGTGAGTTTATTCAGGTTGTTAAATCTGAACAGGGCTAAGCTTCTGTAATTTATTATTTTGTGGTATACCCCAAAATACATTGTTTGGTAATTCACAGAATGGTGCATGCAAAGGGAAGGAATGGTTACTCATCACCATGGATGTCACGGCAGCTATGTGGTAGGAGCATCTAGCATCTCATACAAATGCACATTTCTCATTACCACTGTCGATCTCATGGGCTGGTGATGGGGAAGAAAAATGGCCCATCTTTTAGGCAAATGCCAACACACCTGGATCCCAAGCTGTCTTTGAATAATCAGCAAAGGTCATGTTTGAAAGGATTCTTATATACATTTGGATCTGCTGCTCTAAAGGCATATATAAAAATGAAATTGAAGTGTTCAATGCTTCCATTTTTTTTAACCATTAACTTGAAATTTTCCTCTTGGAAATGTAAGATTCTTCAAAGTAGTGAGTAATTTGAGCTCAACCTGTTTTTTGTGTTGTCTCTTTCAGCAGCAACAACAAAATAAAACAAAAGAGCTGGAAATGAGCCATGCATTTTAAAAAAAAACCCTAAATAAAATATGGAAATGAAACATAATGTAGTTTCTTTGTTGTTTTTTTTGTGTGTGGCTTTCTTTTTCTTTCTTTTTTCTTGCCTTTTTTGTTTCTTTCTGTCCTTGTTTTACTTCATCTGTCTTAAGTGTCTGCAAACTCAAATTTCTCAGAAGTAGCACTTGCTGGCTTAGCAAGTAAGGAGAACTTCAGCAATGTTAGCCTCCGTAGTGTCAATCTAACAGAACAGAACTCAAACAACAGTGCCGTGCCATATAAAAAGCTGATGCTCTTGCAGATCAAAGGTACGTGAAAGGGCTGTTGAATGTTCCTTTTTCAAAGCTGTCTAAAATGCTGTTGCCTAAAAAGTGTGTAAATTGACAAAGATGGGACAGTGGGTAAAAAACAGGGATGGGGACTTGAGTCGCAGGACTTGCTTTCAAGTCAGACTTAAGTCACATCAGTGACTCAACTAGTTTTTTTTTTCAATGACATAGACTCTACTCACAACTTGGAAAAAAATTCCCTTTTTTCTGGGGGAAAATACTTATTTTTAATAGGGACTCGGACTTGGAAGTTGGGACCAAGAATTTGGACTTGGGACTCACCCAAACATTTGCCAACACAGAATAAAAAGAGGATTCTCTTTCTTGCCAGCTCTATTATTGCCCCATATATTGCCCCAGAGCTTCCAACTTAGGAAGTCACTAATATGTTACACCATTCTTCCGTCTAGATCTGGGCTGGCAGTTGTTGATAGCCTTGCCTTCCATGAATTTGTCTCCTTCTCTTTTAAGAGTATTATAAATGCGTAGCCCTCACCATCTCTTGTGAACCTCCTCTCATCACACACCCTTTTGATTTTTGAGTCGTTCACATGTCTGCTCACCTCAGTTGGCATTTTAAATTTAAAAAAATACAAAAATAAATTAAACACCTATCACTGAAATTTATTTAAGATAATGAACATATTTTTTTCTTTATGAAAGTATGACAATTTACTGCCCTCCCCCAATTGCTTATACATTCTCACTCCGAGACCAGTATGGTAGTACAAAATTCCAGTTTTTTTTTAATTTGCATGCTGTGTAAAGTACTTTGTTTTGATCTGAATTTCCCACCATTCGGATTCATAGCATGATCCTTGATTCTAGTGTTATGATACTTTGTTAACACTGTTCATTATTTTATGCGTCTGTATGTCTTGCACCCTATTGTGCATGTCTTTTTAAACTGAATTCCAGTTATTGTAACGGCCTTCACAGGGGAGTTGCTCCACAAGGTAGTTTGTTTCTTTCACACATGAACCCATTAATATTCATTCATCCAACTTTTGGATAAAATGACACTAGGGAAATGGAACATTATTTGTCTGAGACATAGGTTTCTTTTTGAAATAATCAAGCCTAAATGTTGGTTCTTTTATCTATTTTAAGGAATGCAATTAGTCTCTTTTCTCTCTCTCCCTGTATAGGAAGAAGACATGTTCAGACAAGATTAGTTGAACCGAGGGCTACATCACTTAACAGTGGTGATTGTTTCCTGTTAATCACTCCCCTTTACTGCTTCCTGTGGGTAGGGGAGTTTGCAAATGTCATAGAAAAAGCAAAGGTGAGTGATCCAGTTAAGCACAGCCCTGTTTCTTTCCATGTAATGGTGTTCTGGAACTCATCAACTGTGGACCGGGCACAAAATGGCAAGTAACATGTAAGAAAGAAAGATGGATTGACCGCTCAATGGTTGTGCCAAAGGATTGGGAGCTTGCTATTATAGTACCGATCTTTAAGAAAGGCTGTAAATCAGACCCAAGAAGTTACCGTCCAGTAAGTCTGCTAAGTACTATTAGCAAGCTTCATGCGAAGCATCTGTTAGGAAAACTTCAAGACTGATTACATTGAAGGAAATCTCCTTGCTGAGGAACAGGCTGGATTCAGAGCAGGCAGGACCAGACATTAATTTTCCAACATCTAGTGAATAAATATTCCACTCCTAAAGCGGGCTCTCTGTATATGGCTTTTATAGACTTCAAATCTGCATTTCATTTTATTCCCAGGGAAAAATTGTGGGCAAAATTAGAGGCTACAGATATTGACAAAAGACTCCTTTTGGTAATGAGGCAACTGGACAAAAATACTAGTCTTAAGGTTATTTGTAATAAGGCGGGAGTGTTATCTAATGTGATACCATCATTTACGTAATGGCATCAAGCAAGGCTGTATTCTAGCCCCGACATTGTATAATTTCTATATTAAGGATATAGCGAGTAATTTATTCAGAGTAGACTTTGATCACCCCAAAATGAGTACTCACCACCTCTCAGTTTTGCTGTATGCGGATGATGAGGTCTTGATGTCAACTTCATGTGTGAGTCTATGGAGAATTTTGAATGCTCTAGTCTCGTATTGCTCCAAAGAGCAACTTTTGATTAATTATGATAAGACAAAGATTATGGTTATTAGCAGAAGACAAAATAAACAAAGATGGATATTAAATGGGAACAAGATAGAGCAAGTATCGTCCTACAAATATTTAGGTATGATATTTTATTCCTCAGAGTTGTGCTCCTCATTTGAACCATATAACATCAAGTGCACAGAAATGCAGTACTGCGCCATTGAGTTTCTTCTACACTAAGGGTGGACAATATGTACCGTCAGCTATCCAAGCCTTCAAAGCTAAAATTATAGCCCAAATGCTTTATGGGGCTCAATTGTTCGCATATTCTAATTTGAAGCCCTTGGAAATAGTACAAAGTTTTTGAGAGGGATCTTTACGGCGCCTCTGTGTGTCTTGAATGCTACACTTCAGTTGGAGGCAGGGTTAGTTTCCATCAAAGCACGTGCTTTGGCCCACATATATAATTACTGGTTGATACTTATTTTTGATCCAACAGGTTTGACACCCTTGATATTGGAAGAGGAATCTTATCTGCTGAATGACTGAGGTTGGGCTTCTCCCCAGGTGTCCTTTTAGCGATGGGCTATGCTAATGCCAAGGCAGTCATCAAAAAGAGGATCTGGGATGTCAAGCTCCAAGAACATTTAGCAGGCTGGACATACTTAGTGTATTTAGGAATAGTACAATTAGAATGCCTGATTATTTAAAATAAAAATCTCCAAATTTAGGAAAGCTTCTATGTCAGCTAGGTTTAATGTACTTCCGTCTAGACTACTAGAAGGTAGATATTAGAGTTTGCCAGTCGCCAATCGAGTGTGCCCTTGCAGTGAGGCAGAGATTGAAAGTGTTGATCATGTCCTCTTAAAGTGCTCCTTCCATTGAGATATTTGGAACTATCTCCTCCAGCCCATCCTTGCAACAATTTCGAGGGAGGTCCAGAGAATTTTATGTTGCATTTTTACTCTCAGACAAGAAATCTGATATAACTAAAGCAGTGGTGAAGTTTTGTGTGGCAGCAATGAAGTGTTGCTGTTCCCTTCTCGCACCCATTAAAACAGGGGTGGGGCAATTAATTTCTATGGGGGGGGGCACATGAAAAATCTGAACTGTGTTCGGGGGCCGAACCAACTTTACTTTAAAATAAAATGAAACAGTGATGTTATGATTGTTTTTATTTTAAACTTGTTAGTCTTCACAAATACTAAAGAGTTTTTTTGCGGTATTTTAAAGCTAAGCAACTGATCAACTTTAGACAAAAAGCTATAAATGGTTTTGATGTTCAAAACTGTCCACGGGCCGGACAGGAGCGGATTGCAGCCCGGATGTGACCCTCGGGCTGCACTTTGCCCAGGTCTGCATTAAAGCAATGCCAGATGTTTAGTAGTGGTGTGTATTGGCCACCATATACTTTATATGCCACACTACTTAGGATGATGAGATTAGAGGCAATACAAAGTTTACTGAATTGATTTACTGATCTCCTCAGTAAAACTGCCACCCAGAGTAGACCACTGGTCTAGATGGGCGGGGTATAAATCTAATAAAATAAATATGGAAATTCTATAAAATTTAGTCATATTGTAATGAGCTATATATTTTTAATTGTATTTTCGTGTTATATTACTGCATATAATAATAATATTTGAATGTGCCTGGTCAGTGACCATAATAAAGATCATTCGTTCAAAGTAACATGTAAGGATTATCTCAGAAAATATGGTGTGAATCTCCCTTTGAAACTTTTGGGATAGTAAATTGTAAAATCAAACAACTGGACATATAAAATAATGAGGGTGGCAGGAGGGAATTCAGTTAAGATCTCGGTTTTCTTTGTAAGAGCCCAGGTTAATAATACAAACACACACACAAGTAGACAAAAATGGCTTTATATAGTAGACTGTCCTTTTTTGGCATCTGAAAATGAGTGGAACAAATCTTAGATTGGAACCCAGGAAGTCTGCATGTATCTGATACAGTTTCCATGTTCAATATTGTTTGTCTGTCGAAAATAGCAGATGGCACCAGTTCTTTTTCTTTTTTTCTGAGCAGAACGATTGTCCTGCCAGCTTAGGCAACCCTATTCACCAAACCATGTTTTATTTCTTAGGCTTCAGAACTCGCAACTTTAATTCAGACAAAAAGAGAACTTGGCTGCCGAGCTCCTTACGTTCAGACCATAGAGGAAGGGATCAATATGCACACTCATGCAGCCAAAGATTTCTGGAAACTCCTTGGTGGCCAGACCAGTTACCAGTGTAAGGAAGCTTTTGTTTTCACCATTTCTGCTTGCCTGGTGTAAGAAAATTCTCGA